CGTTGTGTTCGTAGATGGCTCTGCTTATTGAGGGTTCGGTTCTGGTTCCGGCGAACGTCAAGCTGAAGTCTTTGAGGTTCTTGATAGAGCGCAGAATCATGGCGACATGCTTCGAGTGGATAGCGCTATTCTCAATGTGGAGAACCTCGATAGGTGAGCTTCGAGGGGGGAGCTTTGCAAGCTGTGCGCATCGTGCCAAGGAGGGATTCATCGGTCGAACAACTCCGTGATTGAATCTGTCCTTATCCACAAGCTCGCCTTTGAAGCTCAATGTACGTAGAGCTGGTAATCGAAGGGCATATAAAAGCGCTTCCAAGTCGATGTCTTGATGGCCAAATCGTAGCGTACGTATGTTGGCGAAGCGCTCAACAAGTCTGGCATCGGGGTATCGCCTCAGCGTGGACCATAGAGATGGCCCGTATCTGCCGTCGCTCATGCGAAATCGGAAATCCGTGTCCATAATTTCCAGGGCTTCTACCCGTGGAGTGAGCACCAAGACTAGAGCTAGTGCGGAACATTTATCCCTCCAGTCGCTAGACTTCCAGTGCGACGGGATATTGGATATGTTGAATACCCGTGCGAGATTTGGTGTCCTCAACGGACCCGACAGCGCTCCGTACCATTTGGGAGTCTCGCTTGGCTTCTTGTCCCAGACGAGTCGCTTGATGTGTGTGACTAGAGTGGGATCGTCCTCTAGACGCTGAACGAGCTTTCTGCAACGAAAGTGATCGGTCTTGATGGTTTTGTAGAGGTAAGACTCTGTGAGTCGATTGAACTGACGGCTGGTAGCGGATAGAGAGAGGAGAGTCTGTGTGGTGCCGGGGACGTATTCTTCATCGATGCCGGAGCCGACTTCGTCTAGGATTCCGCAAAGGAGTTCTTCGGGAAAATCGCTCAGGCTGCACTCAGACAGCTTGGAGTTCGACATGATGAAGGAACAGGGGTTCTGTTCTTGACTGCTTGAGATTGCGGATGTATTATGGCAGTTTTGCTTAGTGGTGGTGACTGAGAGAGGGGTTTGTGAGTTGTGAGATGAATAGGTATGAAGTAGAAGTAGAGAGTATTTATAGGGCAAAGTCTCTCACAAAATTATCACATAAATTCTGCTCGCATGACCTACATGAATTTCAAACTTTGGTTGTGTGGTCGGATGCCAAACTGCTGTCTTCTTACTGGCAGTTTGAAGTTCCTATGGAAGCGATGAGGGAAACGTCTGGGATGAATAGACTGCGCCATTAACTCAGACTGCAGCCTGGTCCTAGTTCAGACTAGTCATTAAGAGTGTACTTTGATATACGATACGATTGAATTAGCTTTGGTGTTGTTTGCTGGAGTGTTCGGCGTGTCACCGCAGTACCGTGGTTATGGGAAAGGTCCACCGTGCTGGGCTAAGTCGAAATCCCCTACGAATGACAAGATCCTGTTCATGGCAGACGCTTAATTCTCGGCAGTCAACCAAAGTACATCCTGATACAGGTCGCAGGGTGTGTAAAGTAGGTATGCCCACACGCTAACCTAGGAAAAACCTGAACACCCTAGAGCCTACGTTGACGTTGGGCCACCTACATTGCAGGTCTTTGTCTTGATGTAGTCCGCAGGCCTGTTGAGCTTTTTTCCTCATACCTAGGTATGAGTGCGCAGGTGCCCGGGCAGATCGAACCACGTGATGGCGTTGCCTAATCGCGTTTGGTGACGTAAGTCTTGGCAGGGTACGTGGAGCCTTCCAAGGTTGCGCACACAGACCTTAATCACGACACACAGTCTGAAAGTTGGCACACGCGGGAAACACTTCACGTAATTTTGTTATGACTAATTCTTTTCTTCGAGCGATGGCTTCGAATTGGGCTCTCTATCAAATGCGCTGGAATACATACAATGCGACCGTCATTCGTTCATCATCACCACCTCGTTCTTACTGCGATGATCCACCGGAGATGGTCAGCACTTGACCGTTGACCCAGCCACCGTCCGCTGATGCGAGGAAAGCGACGACCCTCGCAACATCCTCAGGTACTGCGCACCTTCCGAGCGGGCAGTGGTTTGCCATGAGCGTCTCAATCTTCTCCGCTGGCCAGTCAGGCGAACCGCCGGGGATGTAATGCCAGGCGTTCTGTGTGAACATGTCCGACTTGATACCTCCTGGTGCAACACCGTTGACGGTGATGCCACGCTTTCCGAAGTCGGTTGCGAACGCCTTGATGAAACCGATGACGGCCATCTTGGAGGCGTTGTAGAGGGCGTGGTCCTTGACACCGAGAAGACCGGCAGCAATGGAGCTCATGAGGATTATGCGGCCGTTATCCTCGATGTGCTTGTATGCGGTCTGGCCAACGAAGAATTGCGCTCTTGTGTTCAGGTTGAATACGTGGTCGTACTTCTCCTCGCTGATCTCCTCTGTCACGTCCCAGCTCTCGGTTCCTGAGTTGCTCATGACGATGTTGATCTTGCCGAACGCCTTCTTCGCCTCCTCGAATAGTCTGTTGATCTCGCTGACTTTGCTGACATCAGCCTTGATGGCTACGGCTTTGGCACCGTTGTTGAAGCCCTTGATAATTTCGCAGACCTCGTTCGCTGGGCCTTCGGATGAAACGTAGTTAACGATGACGGAGGCGCCGCGCTTGCCGAGCTCGATAGCACAACCCCTTCCAATGCCGCGACCGGCACCGGTGATGAGAGCGACTTGTCCCTCGAGGGAGGCGGTGGGAACGTTGATGACCATTTTGATAGTGTGTTGGTGTTTAGATGATTATGGGTCGGTGGATGATGGGATAGAGAGCTTCAAGGTAGGGAGCTTGAAGATGTTGAGGTGGTGGGTGAAGATGGAATGGGTATACTGATTACCTTTCTCATCTTGCGCTGCCTCTTTATAAACATCTTGAGTGTTCAGTCTCAGCATTGAAACAAATGGTGTTCACGGTATGCGGGCACGGGCGGGGATCCGAAGAAACGAACACCGAAAATAGCTGCTCCAGGGACCTGCGGCTCTACACCTTCGCGCCCGAAGCTCTGGTCGTTTTAGCTGCACACAGCTAAACCTGCCGGTAGACTCTGCACTCCCGTTTCGAAATGTCGTGGATGAAGTGCCGGCTGTCGTGCGGACGTCGGAAGGGGGAGGGGCCATGGTTGACCCCCGAATGAGGGTGTTCAGATCTGCCATGGAGATGCGAGACGATGTCCGGCGTCGCAAGCGCCTCTATTCATACCATCGGTCTTGTTCATAAGTGTTTACACTGCTATCAGGTGCGACGTCGAAGTTCGAGTTTCTTCGCAGCTAAGCTCTGATCGCCGGCACGATGCAGGGCGCATCAGCGGATCTACCCATGGCGCAGGTACCACTGCCAGCTTGACGGACTTTGCCATTGCCCTGCAGCGTTCGCGGACGACGTTTGCGACCGTTCTGTCGAAGAAACGGCGATGCGAAAACAAATATGAAAGCGCAGAGGTGTTGACGCGAAGGATGGGGCGGTGACTGCCTGCCACGGGCTTCGGACTTATTGGTAGCGCACGTCACTGTCTGCCCCTCTGCATCTCCATCTCCAATCCACAACACAGCGTCGCCAGAACCCGCTGCACTGTCCACATAAGCAATCATGCATATTCTTGTAAGTCCGTCGTATCTTACTAAGCCAATGGCAAGTACTGATCGATCTAGGTCACCAACGACGATGGCCCACCATCAGACCAGTCCTCACCCTACGTACACTCGCTGGTGTCAACACTGCAGAAGCATGGACACACCGTTTCAGTCGTCCTTCCACATACACAGAGGTCGTGGATAGGCAAGGCTCATCTTGTGGGCAAGTCGGTATGACACATCACTTCTACTACGCCGCTCGCCATACTCACTGCCACAGATACAACCGACGTATTACCGCCCTGCGCCCCTCCAAACCAACGCCGAAGGTCGTCTTACGAACCATGGCACAACCCATAACTCGCCTCTACCGCCCTCATCCAATGAAGAAGAATGGGTGCTCGTCGACTCCACACCTGCGTCCTGCGTACAGATCGGTCTCTACCACTACTTCTCCGACCGCGGCCCGATCGATCTCGTAGTCAGCGGCCCGAACTACGGTCGCAACAGCACCGCCATCTTCTCTCTATCATCGGGCACAATAGGCGGCGCAATGGAGGCAGCAGTATGCGGCATGAAGTCCATCGCCCTCTCGTACGCGTTCTTCGACCGCAACCACGACGCTAAGATCATCAGCGACGCGAGCGAGCTCAGCGCAAAACTCATACAACACCTGTGGGACAACTGGGACACAAACACACACCTCTACACAGTCAATGTACCGTTAGTAGAGAACGTGGGAGAGCGCAAGATCCTCTGGACGAACATGCTGCAGAACTCGTGGAAGAGCGGAAGCTGTTTCCAGGTCGTCGAGGTGCCCTCCGAAGCAGACGACACACCATCAGACATCGAGGGCCAGATCCGCAAGCAAGAGGAGAAGTTTGGCAAGAAGGAGCTGAAGGCGAACTCAGAGATACAGGGCGGTGCGTCTGGCACGGACAGTGGACGAGAGACGCCTTCGGGCCAGGCGCACATGCGGTATACACACAAGCACTTCAAGTGGGCACCGACTTTCAAGGATGTATATGAGAGTGTTGAGGCTAGCGAGCCGGGCAACGATGGATGGGCGGTTGCGCAGGGATACACGAGTGTGACTCCGTTACGCGCGAACTTTATGCACGTGAACGGTTTTGAGGGAGAGATCAAGCTGGGTGGTGGCTCGTCGTAGACTGGGGTGCCTGATGACAGTCAATCGAAACTGAATATGTGAGTATCTCTGTACAAGCAGAGGCCGCTCAGACCCTAGAGTCACCTTTTTGTGTCATAGCTATGAGTACACAGGCCAGTCATATCATCGGCGCAGTCAGTGCGGAATTCTCAACATCAAGCAATGCAGCATCACTCTTCCCTCATACGAGTACTTCAAAAAGACATACATTGAAATAGCTAAAGCTTTTAGCAACCGAGGGATACCGGTCTTCACGATATGACAGATGAGCCGCAGAAAACCCACCTGAACAGGGCTCGGGAGCTTACGAAACGTGCCTTGGACGAGTGTAACAAAACCTTGGGCCACTTCGATAAGACTGAGACCGCGAAGTTTGTTCCCCAAGAGCTCAAGAGGGACATCCTGTATACGAACCCAGCACGTGTCAGTCTAGAGGAGGAGTTCAATTGTTTTGCAAGTTGGGCAAAAGACACAGGACTGCACCAGTACGAAGCGAATTCGCCGAAGCACGACTTTTGCCATTTTCCCTCGTTCACAAAATCATCGATTACCGGCTGGCTCGAAGCCATGGAACACACGCTACACATCATGAACTCGATCCTTAAATCTAAGGAAAACTCCTGGATAGAAGGTCCTCACAGACCCCGGCGGCCTGACCCAAATTTGATAGGGTTGCTGGGCCTGCACATTAATGAGTTCAGATACATCGTCGTTAATTTGGAAACATCAGTCGACGCAGAAGACAAATCTGACCTCAGGAGATACAATGCAAGCCCCAGTGTCAAGACACTCTTCCGAAGCTGTTTGGCCGGATATGTGACAGTCATTAATGGTTTCAACGGAGCGAACGAGCGCCTGCAAGAAAAGCTGTTACCCGGCTGTATCGAAGGCGTGCGTAACGACTTCATCAAATGGGCTCGTGAGGTCGGAGTTCTTGAGGATGAGAGCCCTCTGGAAACCAAACTCCTGGCTACCGAAAAGATTTGGAGTCGAATTCACTTCACTGATCATTTTATCACCATCGAATCGACCTTGGACGCCATGTCTGAGTTGCTGTTAGAGAAACCTATCTCGCAGGATGATCTTCGGGCAGCGGGCTTAGACAAGGAGTCGATGTTGAACGCTAGCCGCACAGAACGTGCAGAAAAGCTGAAAGAGCGAATAGCGGTACTCGACGAATGCAACAAGTCTCTTGCGAGAGATACGAAGAATCTCAGTGAGAGGTCTATCGGAGCGCAGAGCGCTGGGGCGAGAGCGAAGGACAATATTGCAGCAGATACTTGACGATGAAGTGAGGGTGTGGTAGCGACGAGAGGGTATTCGATGGCGGTAGTAGTGGAAATATACAGCGATCAAGCCTGTATCAATGAATTACTGCCTGGTATGTCGGACCATGCGGGCGAATATGACGGAGAGATAAGTCAGATATGACAAGATCTCTGGATCATTTCTGAATGAGTCTATGGTGCTCTCAGAGTCACGCTTCTGATTCGCGACGATTGAGCAGAGACTGGTCATACATACTTACTGCACAGTCATTGTAGGTATTTCAGAAGATGAATAGCAGCATAGACTTTCCGCTCTCACCCTTCCTTCCGAGATCCTTCTACTACGGCATGCATTCAGCAAGTACAACAAATCAATACATATGACAAAGATGAGGATAACGGTGAGTACCGATACGAAGCTGGAGAGGACGTTAAGTTAACATCTCCAACGACAAAGACAACGATTCCGAAGAACAGGCCCGAGCCGACTTCGAGCGAGATGTTCGGTCAGCTGGGTGCGGTCAACAAGAAGCTTGAAGATTGGATCGATGCGAACCTCACTCCCACGACGATGTATAAGCGCTGCCTAGCCGCCTACGGGAAGGTGTGGAGCAATATCGACGACCTGGATAAGCCGATAAATAGCGAACCGGCACTCGAAGCTACTGGACGCCTGTGTAAGGATCTAATCACATGGGCGGAAATAACCGGAGTATGTTCGGAAGACAAAGTCTCTATCAACTACAACACTTGCGCAAGTCCCAGATTGAGAAAGCAGGTCTTAAATCATGTCTTAAAGCCACTTCATAACATCGAAGCTGCGCTCAAAACGATGGCCGAAATCGCGCAAGAAACGGCCGCCCCAGGAGGACTGCTGGCCTCAGAACTAGACTTGGGACCGGACTCAGGATCGGCCCGTGTCCCTACGACAAAATACGGTTCTTTAAGCTACCCAGATTCACAGAAAATAAGGCTCACACGAGAGAGCCGAAAGCTTGTCTACAACCAGAGTCTTCTTTCAATCTAGATGACGCGCAGAAATGGTCCGCCGAACCAGGTGCCTCCTGAAGCCTTCACGCACGGAGCAAATGGAAGCGTCTCCATGGATTAGTTCAGGCCGAATGCGGCGGGTACGGCGAGCTGGCGAAACGATACAGCGGATCGTCATCGGCGGAAGGCTTAAGATCTAGTAAAGGATCATGGTTAATCGACACATTGGTACTACTTGGAATGGTTCAGGTATCGACTGGAAAACGGCTGCAGGTAATTCAAATATACGTTAGTTGATCTGGGAGAGATATTAAACTAGACAGACGTGCATCGGAGGATGATGCCGCACATGACAGCTATAGACTGGTCAGCCTCAGACTGTTATTTTCTGATTCATGCTCATTAGTTACTATGTGAATCTTTCGAAACAGTCACGTCTAACGATCCGAGAAATAACGATGCGGGTATCTGTGGTTCGCCTCTACTCTGAGCTATGGTGGTCTGGAGTCGGAGTCACCATACTGATCCATGAGCTGATGAGTCTGCGTAACAGTCATACGATTGGAACAGTCACAGCATGTATTTAAGGAGATGAGAAGCAAGCAAACTCTTCACTTCAATCAAAACTTCCGAAAGGCAACCCTCTGCCTCCTCGATATACGGGCCACCGAACCAAACTGATATACGATATGGCAGAAGCAGCAGACCTGGATCGTCATACTGCCGAAGCAACTACTGCTTTAACATCATCTGATTCTGATTCCGATGCTGGGGGAAAAGAGCAGGACTTGGCCGTACGAAAAGTCCGTCTATTTACTCGACATCGTTTGGAAGTGTACAAATACGATATCCGAGATCCTCTCAGACGCGCCAGCAAGCAATTCCAAGGTCGGAAACGTGCACCGAAGATCATTGAGACAGAGTACTCCCGTTTTCGAGGATGGGCAAAAGACGCAAACGTGTACAAGTTCCCACCAAAAGCAACACAGAAGAGATCAACCACCATAAGGTGGCTCACGCCAAAAGAAGACTACCGCAACCTTGATCCACATCAACAAAAAGTGGTCGACCGATGCGTAAAAGATATGTACGAAGCCCTGGAAAAGATGGCCAAACTCGTCAGAGAGAAGCGGAAGTCCTCAAGAAGTAGAGCTCATCAAGGTTGGCCCTTGAAGCTAGTGGGAAGCCCTGTCTTCCTCGGAAACTTCCGTGAATTGCAGTCAAAGATTGATGAGTTGGAGCGATTAGTCAGCCTCGGTGAGCCTGGCAATCAGATAAACACTTCAGCTTACACTATGAAGACGATGTATGTAAGTTGCATTACTGCATACACCTCGGCCCTTGAGAGCATCAGCAAATCAGAGGACCAGCAGGAGCATGGATCGTTCGATCATCTTTACCGGGAGCGTGATTGCTTGGAAAAATGGGCGATGAATGCCGGAGTACTCAAAGAAAACGAGGCCTCTTTCGACTATAGACTTCGCGGGGGCCCTGAATTACAGCACCAGATTATAGACATACTCCACCAAATGGTAAATACTGTGGCTTGGATAGAGGCAATTGTACAACAAACCGCCGTTTTCGATGACGGTCTATCGTTCTCAGAGTCAGACTCGAGATCGGGTCCGCGATCGGTCAATTCATCAGTACAACAAGACCAGACTTCACGGGCGGAGACAGAGCGCAAAGAGAGCCTGAAGTTACTCAATGACAACAATTGTTATCTTTGGTATATTTGGTACTCATTTCGAGATAACGAGGGGTTTGAGGATGAAGTGCCCTCCAAAGCCTGGGCGCATGACGAGAATGCGGCTGCACTTTTGCCTCCACGACGTGCCGCAGTGGTAGACCTCGCTAGAGATCTTACCGAGAGTTGTATCTGGCAATATTGGCAGATCGTGTACCACTTCGATGAACCTGATGGTTGTTTCAAGATAAGAGAGTTGCCACCTGGAAGTACCTGGTGCAGAGACAACGAAGCATTAAAAGAATGGGCAAAGAAAGCAAGACTTCGTGGATACCACAAGGACTCTCCAAAACGCAACAACCAAGAAGGTTTGGAGTATGACTTCTGCAATGCAAGATTTGAGGACCAACTCTCGATAATCGAGTATCTCAAGCATATGCAGTATAGGCTAATTCGTCTGCTCGAGGAGCGGCAGTCCAACGATGGAACACAAGAAGACTTGCATCCCAATTTATCGTCAACACCGAAATCGTGGGGGACTGTGTGCAATTTTGGACGGGAAATTAAGACCTTGGAGCGATTGATTCAGCCAAGCAATACCCCCAGCGGCCTGGAAGGCGATGCTTGCCGTACTATCGAAACATATTATCAAACATGCTTGGAAGCGTACGCAGTAGCTATTGACCACCTGAACAGGGCTGAGGAACGAACTAAGCAGAAATTATCATCACCCGAAGCTATTCAGCATGAACTTCGCGATCTAGAAAGCTGGGCTCTTGACACCGGACTTCTTTCGCAGGGTAAATACTCTCTCGAGTACAGATTGATGTACACGAAGGGCAACAAAGCATGCGAAGACGTTTGCCAAAAGCTCCGAAAGATCGAAGCGATGTTGCAGGAGATGGTTCCATTGATTACGGGAGAGCGTATCCCAGGGGAAGACCAGGAACTATCAGACTCGGACACCGACTCGCATTCCAACTCAGCGACAGAACTACAACAGTATGTCAATTCCCTTGCTAGCCGCAACGAGGATTTGAAGGGAGTGACAGACGCGTACGGGCTTGGTAGTTGCACCAAACCGGTGTCGTCTCCGGATGACACTCCAGCATATGGTCAGAGCCGTTACACGGATCCTGTCACTGACGAACCTGTTATCATGAAGGGATTGGAGGACTTGGAAATAGGAACTGAGGAGGGCACGGCATCCATTTAACGAAGGAAGGCATGCCACTCAAGCGGAATCCACAGTGGAGTTAGTAGTATAATCTAGTGATACTCCATGTATGATATGAACATCTCTCATTGGCGACTTTCATGCATGCGAAACGCTCGAGATGGAGCTCAAAGCGGTTGATGACTCGTCACAATCTCATGCTGTGATTCATGTCTTACCAGTCACTACATGAGTCTTGATGAACAGTCATGACAACTGCTTCAAAAGGCCAGAAGCGATACACATTTACTTCAGTTCCTCATACCCACCTCTTTACCAGCCGGGTCTACAGCGAGAAATCAAACACCTGCCTTCAAAGCAGCAGCTTCATTCCGGCACGTTGAATATCGACACCATCGCGGGGTTGACTCAGACCGAGATATCCAGCATGCCAACAAACATTTCGGAAGACAAAGGCCACGCGCCATCATCCGGCCAAGTCACTAAAATACCGGAGAAAGCCAGCACAAGTGCCATTATCGAAATGCTTTGCAAAAATCGCCTCAGCGAGTTCGAACGCGTGACCAAACAACTCAAAGTGGCGACGGAGCTTAAAAAGAAGACCAGACTACGGGAATTTGTTAAAGCTCAACACTGGACTTTTCACTTCTGGGTGGAGCGAAACAAGTCCTTCTTACAAAAGAACACCTCTGTCAAGGACACGAATCGAAGTCCTTGTATACCTCCAGAGCCTTCTCTGGCCAAAAGACGACGACAAAATCGAGCCCGAGTGCGACTTCAAATCATGAACGCACTCGAATGGATTGGCTCGCCGTTGAGCGAGATCTCTGAGATACTTGATGGACGTCCTCAATGGGAGGATAGGCAGTCTTGGGATTCGGACTCGGACTCGGGATCAACTTTAGTCGATGGTGGCAGGTTCGAATCAGAGATTGAGGTGCATGTAAAAAACCTGGAGCGTTTCAACAATATCCTTTTGCTATGGACGAAGATGATTGGAGACGAAGGGCCGGCTGTAAAAGGTATGGGCGCGGTTATTCAGGCTGATCGCGATGTGATGATTGACGAAGGATTGGAGACAAAGGTTCCAGCTAAAAAAAGCGCCTGCGCGATTGTCGAAAGCGGCCGTGATAGGTCCACTGATCAAGAATCGGGGGCAAAGGGCCCAGCTAAAAAAAGCGCTGGCGTGGAAGCTCCAACACAATTGAGTCAAGCCGATGAAGATGCTTCCACTGTCGTTACAGGTACTGATAGCGAGTCTCCCGACAAGGTACCGAGGCAAAGAGCTGACGTGAAAAAGGCGATGACGCAAAAATTCCGAAGCATCATTCCAAAGGACTCAACCAAGGGACGAAGACCGGGCTGAAGAAGGCCGTTGTACAGATGTTGAGAAAGCTCCTGAAGAGGATCTCGGGGAAGAAGCGGTCGGAGCGGAATGCTCACTCAAAGGATGGTTGAGAAGGGTCATAACCTAGAGTCGCAAGCGACCATCTGCTGCCCGGTTATGACTAGTTCAATCTACTGCTATGACGCGTGTCTCATCAGTCACTCATGCTGTGAGTCGTAGCGAACAGTGACTGTGCATGAATATAAAAGTCCAAAACCTATACACGTTCATTGCTTTCCTCATCTTCATCCCTCGACCAGCGAAATCTGTATTGAGAACTCAAACATACGTCTTGCGAACAAGAAACTCGACAAAATCTCGTAGCTCCTCTCGCAGAAAAGAACAGCATGGCAACGGAGCAGTCAGGGAGCGGAACACATGCCCCGCCGACCTGTCAAGCAGACAAAGAGCCCACGATGAATATCGAAGACGTTACTATCGAAAAGCTTACTGAGAGGTGCCGGAAAGTCTCCTTTAAAGTCACTCACCGAATACTCGCCATCTCTTACAGAATTCCATCATCCGACGACAAGTACACAAGCATAATTGCGGCGTCTGGGTCTGTCAGGAATCAGCATGACATCCTAGTCGGTTGGGCCCTTCGAAACGGTCTAATTAGACTGAACAAAGGCTCACGCGAGGACCGCGGGAAACCTAAGCCGAACGACCTATCAAAGAACTTACTGGTAAATCTCAAGAAGGGTGACGAGATAAGAGATTCGCTTCAAGGTATCGAAACGACTTTGGGCGAGATGTCTGAGATCCTGGAATTCTTGACACGAAGATATGGAGCAGACGGAAGTACACCGGCTCCAGATACTGGTGATCAGGAAACGGGGCTCCAGCTCTGGAAGCACGTGGTACAACTAGCTTGTTATAATAAAAAACTCTTACAGTGCACGAAGACACTTGGAGATCCGGGTCCACCTCAAACACACCTTTACAAAGTTCTAGAGAACGATGAAGACAAGGATTTCGGTAAAGAAGTGGTCGCGGAGAACTCTCACTCTGCGACCGGAGCTATCGAAGAAACGAAAGAAACCGCGAAGGTCGATATCGTAGCACTTGCTCAAACTTGCAAATCCGGCTACGACAAGGTCATTCGAGTCCTCAAAGACGCGAACGAGGAGATAGAAGAGAGTGAAACTGTCAGAAGAATCGGAGTGCAGGGCTGGATCTTGGATAAGTGGATAAAGCAGTACCAGAGGAAGCTTCTACGAGACGAAAATCCTCTCCATAAGATGCTCCTCAGGTACCCCGGAGCTAGCGAAGCACGGTTAGAATGGGTCCAAGAAAACAAGCACCGAGTGGAAAACAAGCTGGCGGTGGCACTTCGAGATATCGACAAGATCTTGGGCGAGATATCGAAGGTCCTAGCGGGAAGTACATCATCCAGAGAAATACCGACTTCAGAATCAGACGCGGAGTCAGACAGTAGTAGCACAAAGTACGACCCAGAGCTCGAAGCGCTGATAGATTCACTTGTTGAGAACAACAAAATTCTCTGGGATGAACATTGAAGCGGCTGATCGGGTCCGATTAAAGAAGGCGCATGCGCTGATGTCGGAATCGACTATAATGAGGCATATTGTAATGATAGTCGTGGTATAGAAATTTCAATTCAAAGTCTCACAATTACCTCCTGGTATATGCTGGGGTATCAAAATGCTTCCAGTACGCCGTGGTCTCAATGCCGTGAGCCCACCCATGTCCTGCAATGCCGTGCAAGTGCTATCCAGTGCTGCAGTTCCGTAGACCAACGCCATGTGTGCATATTCGATTACTACTCGAAATTGAAGAAGGCGTCGTCGAATTGCGACTGTTCGGGATTTTCGTACTCTTCCATATTGAAGAGGTCCTCGAGGTTGTCCGTGGTCATCGTGTCCATCATCTCGTCGTTGGTGGTAGTGATGGGCTCTTCCTTCTTCTCCTCCACCGGCGGCTGTTCGGCGGGTTTGGGTTCCTCGGCCTTTGCAGGCTCGGGCTCTGGTTCTGCGGGCTTTGCAGCTGTCGCATTATCGCTCGTATTCGCGGTCGCGTCGGTATTCATATCTAAGCCTGGCAGGTCTGCCATGGTGAAGTCAATGTCCATGGCCGAGGCTTCGTTCGCACCGTCGTCGCTGTCCTTGGCGAAATCCTCGAGACCGCGTAGTAGCGAGGGTCCGTCGTTGCCGTCATCGAGGTTGAAGTCCATGTCGCCCGAGGTATCCATCATGTCGTGATGCGGGTTGTCGCCCGATGTGTCCATCGCGTCGCCGAACATGGCATCGAAGTCGAACTCGGACTCTTGCGCGTTGCCGGTGGTGGGCGTGCCGTCGAAGAGGGGGTCTTTCGGGGGCTCGACGTCGGTCTCGATGGGCGGCGGCGGCGGTGCTTTCGCGTCTTTCGCGTCGTCTTCTTTCTTCGGAGGTTCTTCTGCCTCGGGCTCCTTTGCGCTCGCTGCCTCGGGCGCCTGTTCTGGTTGCGACACGGCTGGCTCGGGCGCTGCTGGTGTCGCAACCTTTTCCACCTTCACCGGCTCTTCCTCGACTGGAGCGGGTACGTTCTTCGCCTCTGCTGCCAGTCGCGCCTTCTCGACCTCGTGCTGCTTCGCTGCGGCCTCCTTCTTCTTTCGGTCCTGCTTGAGCAGCGCCATGTCGCGGCGCAGAACGGTCTGCGCGAGGCGGACCTCGTTCTCGAGCTCGTCGAGCGCATCGTGAAAGCGCTCAGTAGCAGAGGGCACGACCTTTTGCAGCTGCTGCCTCATGCGCCCGGTGCCGCCGCCCGCCTGCTCCTCTTTGAGAAAGCGCCCAGAATGGAGGAACTATGGATGTTAGCATGATCGCAGTGGAAGACACGTGACACGACATACCACAGCATTGAGCATGCTCTGGAGCATGTCCAGGTGCTGAGTGGAGTTTACGGCGGTGGCCATGATGCGCATGCAGGTGCTAGGCAAAGGTACGGCCGTGTGTCAGTGATGGGTTCGGCGCGGGACCTCAAGAGGGTCCGCTAGCAGGCTGGGCTAGCGGCAGTACGGTACTACGTTCATAGCTCCCGCTCCTTCGGGTGCCTTGTGGCCTGCGGCGCTAATTCTTCGAACTCGCCCGCTCACCTCTCACACCTCTCCTTCTTCACCCCACAGTGGAGATTATAGCTTTGCCGTCACAGCTCGGCGCAGCGCTCGTCTCTCCTATCTCTCTTCCTCTTGTTTTCCCTTGCCTTTCCTAGTGCTGTCCGCTCTCTATTGGCAGCCTTAGTCGCGCTTTCCATACTGACTTTCCTTGCCGCCTACCCAGCTGCCACCACCCCGCCCGCCAGCCTCGACCTCCCCGTGGCCTCGTCGCCCTGACCGTCGCATCACCGCCGACGTCTTCGATACCCGCCGCCGCCAATTGCGCCTCTTGCGACTCGTTTCTTGTGCGCATCCCCGCGACAGCAGCCATGGCCGACCAGCAGAACCCCGGGGCACAGCTGCCTCCTCCCCCTTCCGCTGGCGCTCCCGGCTACGAGAACCAGGGCCAGCCGCAGCAGCACATGCCGCCGCCGCCGCTTGCACCCGTCATCATCCCCCAGAACAACAACCCCATCCCGACCGCCATCAGCTCGCCCATGTCGGGCAACCCCATGAGCCCGACCAGCGGCCAGCCTGGCTACGTCCCCCGTCGCGCCGCCCCCGAGCCCAACAAGCGGGCGCTATATGTTGGTGGACTGGACCCGCGGGTCACCGAGGACGTGTTGCGTCAGATTTTCGAGACGACTGGCCATGTCCAGAGCGTCAAGATTATCCCAGACAAGACTGCAAGTTCTCCTTCTGTAAGATAACACTCCGCACCTGCTGCATAACTCTTGACAGCTGGCCGGGCTTATCTTGCAAGTGTTGCAACATTCATGTGCCGCTGACCGCTAACAGTTCAACTCCAAGGGCTTCAACTACGGTTTCGTCGAGTATGATGACCCTGGCGCCGCCGAGCGTGGTATGGCCACCCTCAACGGCCGCCGTATCCACAACAACGTAAGCGCGCCCGACAACTACGTGTTGGCGGTTCTGACAGATGCAGGAAATTCGTGTGAACTGGGCCTACCAATCTAACAACACAGCCAAGGAAGACACATCTAACCATTTCCACATCTTCGTCGGTGACCTTTCCAACGAAGTCAATGACGAGGTTCTCCTCCAAGCTTTCTCCACCTTTGGTCCCGTTTCCGAGGCTCGCGTTATGTGGGACATGAAGACGGGCAGGTCGCGTGGTTACGGATTCGTCGCGTTTAGGGATCGCGCCGATGCTGATCGCGCTCTCAGCTCTATGGACGGAGAGTGGCTTGGCTCTCGCGCTATCCGCTGCAACTGGGCCAACCAGAAAGGACAGCCTTCCATTTCCCAGCAGCAGGCCATGGCTTCCATGGGTATGACGCCGACTACTCCCTTCGGACACCACCATTTCCCCACCCATGGCGTGCAGAGCTACGACATGGTCGTTGCTCAGACTCCTCAGTGGCAGACCACGTGCTACGTCGGGAACCTCACTCCTTACACTTCTCAATCTGACCTTGTGCCGCTTTTCCAGAACTTTGGTTATGTCACCGAAACCCGCTTCCAGTCTGACCGCGGATTTGCCTTCATTAAGATGGACACTCACGAGAATGCGGCCATGGCTATTTGCCAGCTCAACGGCTACAATGTCAATGGCCGTCCTCTGAAGTGCAGCGTAGGTTGATTCGTTCTCTTTTGTTATTTCTTAGCTCACATTTTTAATCTAGTGGGGCAAAGACCGTCCTCCGACTGGCCAATTTGAGGGATACTCGCCTGCGGGCGGGCCTAACTCAGCTTATCCTCAGACGCCAAGCGCGTACTTTCCTCAGTATGGTGGTGGGCCACAAGGTGGTCCCATGTCACCCTCAGGTGAGCGGCACCGGAGGAAGCTGCAGTATCGAAACAAGCAATCTAATGCGCGGGCAGGACCCAGCCCCGGCGGACAACCCTTCGCGCAGCAGCAGCAAGCCTTTGGCAACCCTGGCATGCCTTACCAGCAACAGATGCAGCAGCCAGGCAGCGCTGGCGGCTACGGCCGTGGCGCTCCCCAACAACCTCAATGGGGCCAATCTCCCCAGGCAGCCTTCAACCAGAATGGCTTTGGAGGATACCAGGGCTAAGCACCTCGTTTGTTAGATTTGTCTCTTCAGCGCTGTGCCCTCTATTGTCCCAACACGCCTGTTTGCTTACGGGGGCGCTGTTTTGGATAGCTCCGATTTCTGGTCATATTTCATCAGCTACTCGGTTTTATGTTCTTAGGGAGTCGTTATTAATTCCGTTGTCCAAAATGGTGCAAGCGTTGTTGTCTTATGGCATGGCTGGTACATTTCTTGTGGGATCTGGTTCACGGTCGTTTGGTTCAAAATGAATCTCCTATCTCGTGTTAGTTTTCTGTTGCTTCAGGCCTCGGCTCTGATTACCCCTTTACTATCTATTATGACGTTGAATCTTCTCCTTGATACCAGCGAATTCTCTTCTTGATACCAAAGCGAGTTCTTATGATACCAGAAGTGGATTTCTTGTGGCGCGCGCTGGTCGTCGCGGTATGACTTTGGATAGTATACTATACTGTGGACTAGATGGTAGTACTGATGGTGACGGAGACGTAATAGAATAGTACGAGGCACTGAAGCCACAAGCATACAAGACGTATTCTTGCAAAAGTGAGGTCTGCACCAGTACGTCATAGAGCTGTCTAGAGGCAGTCAAATCCCGTACCTGCGTCAAGGTGCCTGGGATCCTGCATGTTCCATCAAGCTTTCAGATACACCGCAGAAACACCGTTGTGATGACGGCACGTGACGTATTGTTCTAGCGCATCCGCATTGAGACGTCGTGTCGCGTTTTGTGGGCCCGTCCGCTAATTGATGCTAACATTCACACCCCACCGCGCCGGATGGCATGCACACACTCGACATCATCTCGGTAATCCTTTCTTTTGTCGGCGCTCTCTTTGTTTGCTGTATGCTTGCCACCCTCGGGAAGAGAGGTGCGTCGCTTAAACCGTACAATCCGAAACGGTCGCCGCTCTTTTGCATCCCACATCCCGCTCGGACGCATTCGCCTCCAACACGGTCCCTCACGCACCTTCCGCGTACGCGTTTCTCGACATCACACCTGCAGCCACCGACCGTTTCGCCCACAACACCACCCCGCCACTACTTCGGCTACCTCTTCACTCGCCCGCACACGACGACTACCATGTTCAAGTCAGCGGTGCAGAACCACAATGCCATCGCGTCTACATCACCCCCAAACAACGCCTACAAGCAGGCCTCGCTCGGGAACGCCTTCAATCGCACCGGGTCAAAGACATCGTCGACGCGTCCTGTAGGAAACGAGATGAAAACCACCATTGGGGCAACTACACAAGGGACCAAGCGGACGTCGAATGGGCTGGTCAAGTCGTTGAACTCGCAAGAGGATGACTTTGACTACCCCTCACTCAACATTGCCGAGATTGACGAGAAGGAGAACGATCTGCCGGCTGCATTCCACACATCTTCG